TGGCTGCTGCAGCTGCTGTAGCCGCAATGGCTGCTGCAGCTGCTGCAGCTGCCGCCGCTACTGCTGGTGTGGCTGCTGCTGCTGCCGGTGCAGCTGCTATTGTTGTTGTGCAGGCCGATGCCAGCAGCAGCAGCATCAGCACCAGCAGCTGTTACCAGCAGCAGCTGCTGCTGCTGCTTCCGTTGCAGCAGATGCCTCGGCTGTGGCTGCTACTGCGGCTGCTTTTTGCACTCAATCCTATAACTCATCTGTTGCTGCAGTGCTGCAGCAGTGAGAGCAGCAGCACCCCCCAACTCTGCTGCTGCTGCTGCTGCTGCTGCAGCTGCTTCTGCGTTATGACTGTTTGCTGGTGTACATACAGACGCTCTCCATACCCAAACAAGTTCCCCGCCGCTGATACGCCCGCCCCGCCAGGACGAAGCTGCTGCTGCTGCTGCTGCTGCTGCTGCTGCTCCTGCTGCTCCTGCTGCTCCTGCTGCTGTTGTGGTGGTGGTGTTGCTGCTGCTGCTGCTGCAGCAACCGCAGCAATATAGAAAGCGACCGCTAAGCGAATACATCTTCTTATAAAAATCAACAATACGCGTCAAGCAAACAAAAGAAGACGCAGCAGCAGCAGCAGCAACAGTTGCTGCTGCTGCTGCTGCTGATACTGCGCGTAACTCTGCTACAGCAGAAGCAGCAGCAACTCCAGCAATCCAGAGGCTGCCTGCTTCTGTGGGCATCAAATCATCTGGCTGCTGCTGCTGCTGCTGCTGTTGGTGGGCCGCCGTGTTGCTGCTGCTGCAGCATTCACAGTGAAGCTGGCAGCGTCTGCTGCAACCGGGCCCCACACTATGGTGCTGTTGCTGCTGTTGCTGCCGCTGCTGCTGCTGTTGCTGTTGCTTCAAGCTACGGGGGGTCCGGCATCATCTTCTCTGTTTGGCGGCTGCTGCTCTCTGGATGCCTTCGCCGGCAACGCAGCAGGGCCTGAACAGCAACAGCAGCAGCAGCAACAGCAGCAGCAAGTGACAGCAGCATAAATAACAGCACCCGAAGTAGCATAACGGAGAAAAAGGAAATGAAAGCAACAGCAAACCAACAACTGACACCGGCAGCAGCAGCAAAAGCAGCAGCAGCAACAACGCCAGCAGCAGCAACAGCAGCAGCAACAGCACATACTTCTGAATGCAGAAAAGAGAACAGCGAGTATGATAAGGACGAGGGAAGCAACATGAGTTGGGTTGAGCCCTCCCGCTGTCTGCTGCTCTCCTCCTTCGCCTCCGCTGCTGCCTGCTGCTGCTGCTTCTGCTCCATCTGCTGCAGCAGGAAGCACATCGGTTGGAGACCCCAGAGCATTTGCCGATGCTACAGCATCACGTACAGCCCCCATGAGCGCCGCAAGGGAGCTGCAGATACACCCCACCAACTCGTCTGACATCGTTGCGTTGCTGCTGCTGCTGCTGCTGATTACGGTGCTGCTGCTGCTGCTGACAGAGCAGTCAGGGCCGCAGAAAGGAATCCTGTAGAACTCCTGCTATATATTTAAAACGTCGCCCTTTGTGGCGGTGCTGCTGCTGCTGTTGTTGCTGCTGCAGCTGCCGCTCACGTGCCTTGGGCGGGGGAGGGAAGCGCTGCTGCGCGTCCTCCGCAGCAGCAGGCTGCTGCTGCTGTTGCTGTCTATAATAATCTTCTCCTGCTGCAGGAGCTGCTGCAGGAGCAAAGAAGAGGAAAGCCGAAGGCGTGTACTCCGTCAAAGAGAAGAGAAAGGCTGATGTAATCGCCGCTGCAGCAGCAGCAGCAACAGCAGCAGCAACAGCAGAAGCACAAAGGAGAGGCGAGTGAGAAGAAGGCCGCTCTATAGAATAAAAACAGTCTTTTTATAAACAGATAAAGACAATATGTTTGTAAAATTTGGGGTGTACAGACTCCGAACAGCCACAGCAGCAGCAGCAGCAGCGCTAAGCAGCAGCAGCTGCTGAGCGCACCAGTCGAGCGGCTCTTTCGCGTGCTGCTGCTGCTGCTGCTGCTGCTGCTGCTGCTGCTGCTGCAGGGGCTCTTCCTGTTCCACGTTTCAGGGTAGCATCTTATAAGTTTGCATCATTAATCTTTAGTTAGTAGCAGCAGAAGAAGGTGCCGCTTAGCAGCAGTAGGAGGCCGCCGATCCCTAAGCAGCAAACGCAGCTCTTAGGGCGGACCGCTACGTCAGCAGCAGCAGCAGCAGCAGCACAGCAGCAGCAGCAGCAGCAGCAGCGACAGCTGCGCGCATGTGCTTCGTTCCTTGTTGCTCTTTCTCTACGCTTCTTTTCTGCTGCTTCTCTTTTAGCTACAGTCCTTTTGCTGCTTCGCCACTCAGCAGCAGCAGCAGCAGCACCAGCTTTGGGGGGCCAGCAGCATTATCATCATCGTGAGCAGCAGCATCAGCAGCAGCGTGAACAGCAGCACTGTGATCAGCAGCAGGAGAAGCAGCAGCAGCAGGAGCAGCAGCAGCAGCAGCAGCGCAAGGATGTCAGACGAGTTGGTGGGGTGTATCTGCAGCTCCCTTGCGGGGCTGATGGGAGCTGTACGTGATGCTGTAGCATCGGCAAATGCTCTGGGGTCTCCAACCGATGTGCTTCCTGCTGCAGCAGATGGAGCAGAAGCAGCAGCAGCAGGCAGCAGCGGAGGCGAAGGAGGAGAGCAGCAGACAGCGGGAGGGCTCAACCCAACTCATGTTGCTTCCCTCGTCCTTATCATACTCGCTGTCCTCTTTTCTGCATTCAGAAGTATGTGCTGCTGCTGTTGGTGCTGCTGGTGCTGGCGTTGTTGCTGCTGCTGTTGCTGCTGCTGATGGGGATGGTAATGCCGTCCACCTGTTGCTGCTGCTCTTGTCCTGCTGCTTTTGCTGCTGCTGTTGCTTTTGCTGCTGCTGGCATTTGTTAAGCGGGTCTCTTTGCTTTTTATTCGCTAGCTGTGCTGCTGCTGCTTCTCCATCTACTGCCGTTCTTTGCGGTTGCGTTGGTGCGTCATTGCTGTGCCTTGCTGTGTGCTGTTACCATTTGCTGCTGCTGCTGCTGCTGCTGCTGCTGTTCAGGCCCTGCTGCGTTGCCGGCGAAGGCATCCAGAGACCAGCAGCCGTCAAACAGAGAAGATGATGCTGGACCCCCTGTAGCCTGAAGCAACAGCAACAGCAGCGGCTGCTGCTGCTCCTCCTGCTGCTACGAGGGCAACAATATCAGCAGTAGCAGCAGCAATGGTAGCAGCAGCAGCAGCAACAGCGGAGGAGCCCCTGTTTGCTAGATTTGTTGTTATCTGCTAAAGAGGAGAATTCAGTTAGGTGTACGAACAGTAGCTTTTAGGGTGTTGCATGCAGCAACTGCAGCAGCAATTGCTGCAGCAGCAGCCGCTGCTGCAGCACCGGAGGCGGCGGCTGCAACCGTAGGGCAGCAGCAGCGACGGCTGCAGCAGCAGCAGCAGCGACGGCTGCAGCAGCAGCAGCAGCAGAGAGGGCAGCAGCAGCAACAGCAGCAGCAGCAACAACAGCAACAGCAACAGCAACAGCAGCAGCAGCAGCATGCTGTGCCTTGGGTGGAGTTCGCTGCTGCAAGTTTGAGGGCTGACAGACCCGCGCGGAAGTATAATGGCGTTGGTGTATTTATATATATATTCATATATATATATATTTATATATATTTATATATATAAATATATATATATATTCCTTTATATTTATAAGTAAATGTTTATCTATATTTATTATAATGCATATTTCTGTAAATGGGTACGTGTACACGCAGGAATATATCTATATGTATGTATAGATATATAGAAATATGTATATCTGTCTACATACATATATATATATATATACATATATACATATACATACATATATATGTAATTGCAAAGATTAATAAATGTCGCTCTGTGTAAATATATATTCTTTATATTCCTTCAAATGCACGTTGGTCTGCATTTATGTTCATATTTACATACACATATACATATGCATATATATATATATATATATATATACATGTATATATGAAGATATATATATATATATATATATACATAAGTACGTATATATATGGATATTCATATATATATATATATATATATATGTGTGTGTATGAATATTGTATGTGTGTGTATATTGCTTTATATTTTGAGTTAGGTTTATATATCTTGCGTGTACGTACACCTCGTTTGTCGCCTCGAACACTGACATGCATGCATGCAAGGCGAAAGAGCAGCAATTTAAAGCCCCAACCGAAGTGTATCCACAGCAGCATTACTTCTGCATGCATTTTTTGCATGCATTTTGCATGCATTCTGCATGCACAAAGGCATGCATGCACCTTTGCATGCACGGAGAGGAAAGAAATGCTGAAAGATGCGATGCATGCAGCAGTTGGTATATTCATTCATTTATGCATGCATACATATATGCATGCATGAATTTATGCATGCATGCCCTTATTTATGCATGCATACAGCGCATGCACGCGTGCATGCATGCATTAATGCGCTCCGCTTTCAGTGGCGCATGCAGGAATGGATCCAGTTTGCATGCATGGATGCACTAACATGCATGCATGCACGCATGCGCCAACATGTATGCATGCCTGGATGCATGCAACAACATGCATGCATGCATGTGTGCATGCATGCATGCATGCACCAACACGCATGCATGCATGCATGCATGTTTTAGCGCTGCATGCATGCGTTTTGGAACAGAACGCTGCAATTGAATTTCAGCCGAAACATCGAAATTGGAATTTATTATTTTCTTCAAATGGCGGTTGTCTATTTGGTGCCTGATGACGTTCAAGTGTATGCGCATACACGCGAAAGCAGCATTTGTAAATTTATTTCGCTTGAGATTAAGCTGCATTAGCGACGAACTGCTGGGAATAGAAAGAAAAACAATACTAATGAAATAAAAGACGAAAGGAATGAAACGCATGCACTTGAATGCGGTATACATGCACCGAACAATTGACAGGAGCTGCACATACACCTTAATCGCATTCAGCGAAGACAGCGATACGCAGGACCTTCTTTTTCTTTTTTTCCCTCCTCTGTTAGTCTAAAAAACAAACAGTTCTGGGGCCAGAGAAAAGAGACGAAGGAGATGTACTCCCCGCTATCAACTATTGTGATCTATCATAATATTCAGGTGTATATGCACCTATTCGCTATCCTGGTGTATGTACAGTTTGCGGTGTATCGGCAACGGATGCTGTTGGGTTTCTGTTTTTAATTCGTTCTTTGCTTTATGTTGGCAGCTCCTACGTGAGCAAACTTTATCTCTTCTTCAATTGCAGCAACCGAGAGAAATCATTCATTACCTTGCTGTGGTGTCCGTACACCTCAACTGTCTGCAGTCTTGCATGCGGCGTGCTGCGCTGTACGTACACCTGAAATGTGCAAATTTCTTCCTTAAATTATCACCTAAAATGCCGTCATTTAAAAAAAAAACACTTTCGTTTGTTGTCGGTTCTCAACTCCGCCTCAAGCAGGAACCCCTCCGCTCCTGCTGCGTTCAGGCCTGTGCTGCCTCACCGCAGCAGCTGCAGTAGCAGCAGCAGCAGCTGCTGCTGCTGCTGCTGTTGCTGCAGACCCTGCGGTTTCTGCTGCCGGGAGTGGTGTTGCAGCAGCAGCAGCTGCCGTTGCCCCCCAATGGCTGTCGCAGCAGTTGCTGCGGCAGCGGCTGGGGGGG